CACACACACAAACACACACACACCCCCGGAGCAGTGGGCAGCAATTTTTGCTGTGGCACCCAGGGAGCATTTGGGGGTTTGGTGCTCAAGGGCACCTCAGTCATTGGCACTGAGGGTGGAAGAGAGCGCTGTTCATTCACTCCCCCCACCTACAATTCCTGCCGGTACTGGGAATCGAACCTGCGACCTTCGGGTCACAATATTACTGTTTTGACTGCATTTTTGATCAAATAAATGCAGCCTTGGTGAGCATAAGAGACTTCTTTAAAAATATTTGTAAAATATATTAAAAAATCGTACTGACCTCAAACTATTGAATGGTAGTTTATAGTGTTTATGTAAATGTGTGAATAATTCAGAGATGACTCACCACTGCAGGGGATGGTACATGGATACTGGCCACTGAACGCGGCCGAATGTGATTGACTAGGTGACAAAGCACGACCCCATCCATGAGAGAAGAGCCCAGATCTTCAGGAAGAACTACTTTCAGTCTGCTCTCTATACTCTGACAAAATCAACATGATTGGGTTATAAATAAAACAGTTTCCTACAAATATTATCCATATTGCTAAAAAAATGATGGAAAATAAATCCATATATTGCTAAAATAATTTGGATATTTGTGCCACAATCAAGAAATATGCCCTATAATAAACCCCTTTTTTCATTTTGAACAGTATATCTATTGTTTTACAGATTTCTCCATGTGACTTTTTTTTTGCTTGAAAAGTGTTATGCTAATATAGACATTCAATGATTTTTTAAGTGTTACTGAAGTGTTCATATACTCTGTGGGGCCATTGTATAGCCATATATTTAGTCACTAACCAACTAATGTAGTTAATTTACATACTTAGATTATGTGTGAGTGTGTTTGCATACCTCTCGCAGTTGCTCTATGAGCTCCAGCTCCTCTCTGTGCTGCTCCATCTTTCTCCTCATGGTGAACTGAGGATCTACTGATTCCAGAGTCTTGTGCGTCCTGAAATACACTGTCACACAACTGAAGTGTCACCAGTCTGCACAGAGCACATTATATCTCCTGTCTTACTCTCACATGCATAAACACTCACTCTCATTTATTTACTTTCTTTTAACGTCACATCCATCGTGATATCCCAAAACTCGAAACTTTAGGTTAGTGTCAATTTTGACATGAAGAGGATTACACAGCAATCAAATGTCACTACTGTTGCCATTATGTTACATTTTAAATGACAAGCTGCCTTTATTGTCTATTTACATCACAATGAACATCCTGAATTCTGAAGGGAATGAGATGCTGTCCATATTTGACATCTGACAGCCTTTATTATATGATATTTCCCCACAAGGGGGAGCACTAGACATGAGAGAAAGGGAGAAAGACAGGAGCACAATGCTTCATTCCACACATCTGAGTGTGTTTCTGTAGTTGCATAACCACTCATCCTGTGAAGAAATGAAAGAAAGAGGATCGTATGTAGGGAACATTAAAAGGAAGTTATTCCAGAACATTCCTCCCTCTTTTTGTTGTCTCACAGTTTTAAGCCCTGGAGCAGTGTTTCTGTGCTTGGACACTGATGTAACAGAGCAAGCACATGTTAGACTGACATCTCTGGGCAGCATTAGAAAAAAAAAGTGTGTGTGTGTGTCTATGTACCTACTTAAACATATTTTTGTGACAAATTTGTACCCAAAAGTGAGGTAAATCTGACAAAACCTCCTTTTGGGGATGTAAAAACAATAAGTAAAAACAACAGAAGTCTAATTAACTAACTTACATAGATTAGATAGCTAAATGTGTCCGTGTGCATCAGGGAGAAAAAATGTCTCTGAAAAAAGTCACCACTCATGCTTTCGCGGCAAGTCTGTGTTTTAGAATCCATTTGATTACTTAAAGGGGTCATATGATGCTGCTAAAAAGAACATTATTTTGTGTATTTGGTAACGGAAAGCGGCAACAATACTACAGTGAGAATAAAAGTTACGCCTTCTTTCTTTGAGTGAACATTTGGGCGGCGTTATGCAAATCTTCCCACATAGTGAGGTAGATATGTGGGGGCGTGTTAGAACCAGCCGTTTTAGGTAGGTGTGGCTGACTCTTAACTTTTATAAAGAATATCTCTTTGGATTTGAGACTTTAGTCTTTGCAACTTTACAGATCTTCTTTATGCACCAAGAGCTTGTAACACTCCAAAGAGAAAGGAAAAATTGAAATCGCATCATATGACCCCCTTAAAAGTGTGCCATTTTTATGTTCACATACCTTCTATTTCTGCCAGCCTAGCTTAGCAACACTGGCTCAATCAATGGTTTGAGTTTAGGGGCAGGGCTATCTGTTTGTTCACCAATGGCAAACCAGGGTTGTGTTTGGGGAAAGCTGTCATTTTTTTGAAGCTAGTGACACAAATGAAACAATTTAGCTTTAAAGCTAAGTGTCTTTCTCTCACATTTTCTTTCTGTCTCAACGTCTCAGCTCTAAGAGCAGCACACATTCTAATCCAACTCAGTATTGGCAAAAATGAGACTCATTCACATGTTTACTGTTATACTGTGTGCAAGACACAGTAAGTATTCCAGAAAGTTATTGAAAAAAAGGGCAATAAACCTCTGTAGAATCTGAACACCCGGTCATTCACAAAGTGCATGTTTGTCTAATCTGATTATGATTTTAACTACCAATAATAGTGTAGTACAGTGTAGACATTTTATTTTTAAAACATTTCACAGATTTATGGTGCCAGATTCCATCTGGGTTCAATAAAGTTTTAATATAAAGTTCAATACTACCATTAGTACAGAGCTATTCATCAGTAAACTTTTCACTCTTTCCATCATTCCCTCTTCCTTTTTCTTTCTCATAAGACGATGAGTAAGTACAGATGTCTCCTGGCAGTTTTTCATCCTCTGAAAGCATTTCCACTTAAATGGAGGTCTGATTTTCCCTCTGGGGCCATTATCTAATGCTTCAAAATAGTAGCTCTATAAATACACACAGCTCCATTTAAAGCCACTGGGCCACCCCAAATTTCAGCTCAACCACATCCCCTCTCTCTTACTCCTGTGTTTAAAAAGACCCTTTAACGCTGTACCTCAGAAAAATTTTTTTTTTTACATTCAGACACAAAAAAATTGTCTACACTATAATCTGCTGCCATCATGCTGGGTACTGTGGGTGGTTGCCAACGTTTTGCTATGCAGCAAGGAGTTACAAAGCAGTTGCTAGGGTTTTCTGGATGTTATTAGGCATTGCTAGTGGTTGCTAGGGTGTTCTGGATGGTTGCTTACCGGCCCAAGTCAAAAGAGTCCAAACCCAAAAAGTCTTAGTTATTCTTGTTCCGGTAGCAAAAATGGTGGAACATGAGTTATATTTTAATATTTAATATTAAGAATTAAATCTTTATTTAGATCTCTATGATAGTGAACCTTAGCAACCACCACTAAAATATAAAATATAATAAAAAATACCTGAAACAATTTCACTCTGACAAGAAAACACTAATTGCAAGGCATGTGACTGCACAGGACGATACATTGAGCAGACCTACCACTGCTTGGCATGTCTCCTTCAGCTGGGCTAGGGGGCGTGTCTCTATCTGTGGGCGGGGCCTGTGTAAGGGGGTGGGGACAGGGCGGAGTCGAGCACAGCAAAGAGGGTGAAGCTAGATGTAGGTATCAACATAAAGTGTAGTGCCAGTAGCAGGAGCCAAACAAATGATTTTCATCGGAAAACCCAGGAAACAGGCAGGAGTTTCAGGTATCAGAAAATAGGAGGGTGCCAAGCAACAGCAGTGTGTGTAATAAAAGCAGACAAGCAAGCAGGCAAGCAAGCAAGCAGCAGTTCAGGGACACAGATAAATAAAAGGGAAGAGAAGGAAACAGGAAGATATGCAAAGCAAAATGACAAATAAATACATCACAAAACAAAAGAGAAGATATTAAAAACAAAAACACATTCAATGTTAAGCAGCATTTCAGTATCAGTTTGTTGGCATGCTGTTAATGCACCTAGTACAATTGACTATTCTTTATGTTAACTGTCAGACTCAGGGCATGATAATGCTGTTATTGTTAGACATAAATAACAGATCACAGATAATAATACAAATGCTAGCTTAGATGTTATAGGGGGAAGCAACAAGAAGCCTCTAGGCAGCTAAACAAACAGCTACATCAATTAAACTGCATCCAGATGAAGCAAGCGGTTTTGTGTATTTATTGAACTGTATACATTAATAATGAATGGTATTTGTGAAAATATAAAATCTCTATGTAAATGAAACGAAAATACAGGTCATATTGAGTTACCATGTACTTTTTGTAAACCTCTCCAGATGCAGTTTAGCCCCTGAAGCCAAGGGAGTCATGTTAAACAGCAATATGAATGGATAAAAAGCTTGACTTTGATTGTACGGCTGTTATGAGCTTGACAGGATAACAGGTGTTGGCCACAGGCAAAAGGATCTTTACATGCAAACACTTCCTCCCTCTTACTACTGAAATGTGATGATGAGAGAGCCCAAAATGTGCACCATCCTCTAAAGTGCAACGCCACCCATGCCAACCTCACCATCAAAATGCCAACCAGCACATTGTCACCATGTGTGTTAGTAAAACAACACTGTTCTCACCTGATCTGGGCTTCAGACCAAAGGGAGGTGAGCTCAATGTGGGGCTGGAAACTGGGGTTTTGTCTTCACTCTGGTACATGACAAACACATTCAGCGTAAGTGCACGCAACCATTTTTAAAAGTAAAATTCCGATTTATAAGCGTAAAGTGCATAATGTTACTGTGGTGTAAAGCCAGAGTAACATTAAACTTTGAGTCAGTAAAAAGATTTACCTTGGTAACTTGGTTCTCACAACTATCACCTGATCCTTCCTGGCCAATCACGTCACCCTAAGAGTGAGAAAAAAACAGGCTGTGGGATTCTTGAGATGATGTAAGACGTTAACAGACCAGCTCTTTAGACAGTCAAACAATGCATCACTGTTCTCTGCTTCAATATGACTCTGTCTTTATTTCGAGTCTCTGTTTGTTTGCTTTTCCCCTTTCATTAGATTAGAAAGAGAATTACATGATTCTCAATCCCCATGTGAGTACATTTACTTTAAATATATAATTTCTATTCAATCTAAAATGGTGATTTATGAAGTCATGCAGGCTACATCATGGACTAAATGTACATGGACTGCAATGTTAATAAACAACACACGTATATATCCAGCACCACACACATTTAAAATACTGTATACTAATGTGAAAAATGGCCCAGATGCAATCTACAAACCGGGGGAAAATCTGCAGAATTATGCAGAATGAATTTAAATGGATTGGTAAAATGCTAAACACAGTACTTCACTCTTTGTGGTAGATGACAGCACAATCAAATTCTATTGTTATTGTGAACGATTCACCAGTGCCCATTATTCCAAATAAATAATATTTTTGTCTTTGTAATCACACTTTGCAATAACATTTCCCTTAAAACAACATTAAAGGGATAATTTACATTCAGTCATCATTCACTCACTTTCATCTGGTTTCAAAAATGTATGATTTGCTTTCTTCTGCAGAACATAAAAGAAGATATTTAAAAAAAATGTTTTTGCTAGCCAAATACAATTTTCAAAATATTTTCTTTTATGTCCCACAGAAGAAAGAAAGCCATACAGTTTTGGAATGCCATGAGGGGTGAGAAAATTATATTTTTTGGTGAACTCTCTCTTCAACTATAAACTATAATGCTAACCAATTGTCAAAAAATGATTTCAGCAATGTTTTAGCAAACTTGTATCTTGCATTCTTATATGGAACACCCTCTTTTTATAATACAGTCACTTCCAGATAAAATCAAGCCCAGTCCATGTTTTTCTTGCTGAATATTGTTTCACTTAGAAATGCATCAAATTACAAAAGTAAAATGAGTTGTGAGCATGAGAATTCACATTGATTTTAATGAACAGAAATGCAGGTGCGGCAGAGGATATGTAGAACTTGTAAATGGCAGTCTTTCCAATTCCGTGGAATTTTGCGGAGATTTCTTTAGAGTTCTGCACACACAGATTCCACGTGGCTCTGCTGGGAATGAGCTGCACGTTTACAATAGCACAACTACAACAAGAATGAGGTCACCACAGCACAAACAAAAAGCGCATATGTGGCAGCTACATCTGAACCACTTGTTTGGGTAATTCTGTACAAAGTGCATTTGCACTGAATGATGAATCTTTTCTGAGAGACCAGCTGAATTTTGTATAACAATGTCCCCACTTGACTTGTACAAGTTGCTCAAGTGTTCACCGGTCAAACAGGTTGCATCTATAGGCTGGATGGTAGGACTAGTTTGTCAGATTACCTGTTGTGCCATGTGCAGGGCATACTGTTGACATGCGAGCTGGGCCTCGAGCCGGGCCCGTTCTAGAATGTACTGTCGCTTCCTCTGGAACTCCCAGCATTCTCCAGGAGCCGCCTTCAATGATAATCACTGCTCTTAAGACCATCACACTACGACACTAACCAAAGCACACATCACGCTGGTAAAAACAGCCCTGGAGTTTAACTAGATGTACCTTAAACACACAAGCTGCAAGGCTAACCAGAACTACTGCACTGCAATGTGGTTACGGTCAATTACAGTTTTAACAACTTTAATAAAAGGAAATGTTTTCTTATCATCCAAATAATCACATCACAACACAGCAAAGACATCTAATAGTACATACACAAACGACAACACAAAAAACTACCACAACAGACCACTGCACACCGAATGCATAACATACACTACCAATCAAAAGTTTGGTGTCCGTAGGTAGGATATGTTTTTTTTTTAAAGAAATGAATACTTTTATTCAGCAAGGATGCATTTTAGAAGACATTTATAATGTTACAAAAGATTTCTATTTCAAATGAATGCTGTCTTTATTCATAAAAGAATCCTGAAGAAAATTGTATCATGATATTTACAAAAATATTAAGCAGCACAACTGTTTTCAACATTGATAATAAGAAATGTTTTTTGAGCACCAAATCAGCATATTAGAATCATTTCTGAAGGATCATGTGACACTGAAGACTAATGTAAAATTTTGTAAAATGAAAATTCTGCTTTGCCATCAGCGAAATAATTACAATCCGTGTAAAGGCAATTTAGAGAATTGTTTCTAAACAGATTATAAATGTTAGAAATTTGTTGTTGAAATTACGTTACAAAGACTGTGAACTACGTAGTACTGAATTGTGGCGTTAGACCGTTTTTCACCATTTTTTTGTTTAGGATCTTTTGGACGGGCCTCGATGATGCACTGGAGCAACTGAGCATGGCCCCTCCCCTAACACTATAATAACTAGAGCGCATTAGTATCAGTGGTTTGCCCGCTCAATCGCGAGTTAAGGCTGGAATACACTACACAACTTTTAAAATCTGAAGAGATTTTAAAACGCTACAGGCATAATACATTTACCAACTTTGTAATACTCACAAAGGAAAAACTGGGCATCATACTGTACACTAAACGACTGAGGTTCACATATTACCAGACTTTAAAATAGTTCCGATCGCAACAAATACATGCAGAAACGTGCGCCTTGTTGCTAGGAGATGCATGACAAATGAAAACAATATGTGTTCTAAAATCACCTGAAAATATCAAACATGTTTGAAATTCTCCGACTGGATGGAATCAATATCAGTGGTTTGCCCGCTCAATCGCGAGTTAAGGCTGGAATACACTACACAACTTTTAAAATCTGAAGAGATTTTAAAACGCTACAGGCATAATACATTTACCAACTTTGTAATACTCACAAAGGAAAAACTGGGCATCATACTGTACACTAAACGACTGAGGTTCACATATTACCAGACTTTAAAATAGTTCCGATCGCAACAAATACATGCAGAAACGTGCGCCTTGTTGCTAGGAGATGCATGACAAATGAAAACAATATGTGTTCTAAAATCACCTGAAAATATCAAACATGTTTGAAATTCTCCGACTGGATGGAATCAAAGTCTGAAGCTAAAAAATCAGAGTCTGTGACCATCATACACTACGCAATTTTCTATTAAATCTGTCAACTCAAATCTGCAGACTGGCTCTGACTTTCTGCAACTAGCGTCAACTTCTCCAGGCTGTAGTGTATTCCAGGCTTTACTGTCATTACCGTTAGTTACTACAGCCTACAGTTTGCTAGCTAGCTATGCCTTCGTCACGTAAATGCATATTGGTTGCGATAATTTACAAAACAGCTGATAAATTTACAAAAACGGTCATCCAGTTGAGAGAGATGGCAGCAACCAAGTGGGTGTGGTTTCAGCGCTGACAGCGGGCATGCCCCCAGTGTTTGAGAACTTACTTTATTTACAGTACTTGCCGTTTTTTATCATTCAAATTTGCCTGAGTGGTTAATAACACATTTTTCTGTGGTGTGACAAACTCAGAACACATTTAATATTGCTTTACACTGACTTTAAATATATTACAATAAAAACAGTGATTTTAAATTGTAATAATATTTCACAATATTACTGTTTTTACTGTATTTTTATCAAATAAATGCAGCCTTGGTGATTTTTAATGCTTCTTTTAAAAACAATTACAAAATCTTATCAACCCTAAACTTTTGTAGTGTAAGTACTTCAAACCAAACAGTGCATGTAATCAGAGAGGCTACTGTGAGTTAAGAACTGCATTACTTTCTTTAATTTTGAGCAGTTTAGGTGAAGGGAATGGATTTTTGCAGCTGCTCTTAAATGAATGAAAAACTAGCAACTTTTGAAATTATAAACCTTAGGTAAAATATGACGTCACATAACTGACAGCACATAAACAGTCTAAAAGGCGTGAGAAAGCCTTCAACAATAGCCCACTGATCTCAGAGGAACTCTAGAGAAACACCGCAGTCTACAGTGACACTATAAAGAAGGAAATGAACAGGATGCTTAGAGGAACCAGTAAGGTCCTCTTATGTGTCTGATGTTAACTTAGACACATGTACCAGCGGTTTACCTTAGGTGTTGCCTGACACTCGTCACTCTCTTGGCCACTACAGGAAGACAAAAACAAGAATGGGGTGTTGGTGAAAACCTTAACATGCAAAGCAGCATTTGAATGTATTAATACTAGTACTACTATTTTGTATTTACTGTAAAACATTTAAGATGTGAAGTTGTAACTTACTTGAGCGACTCATCTAATGTAACCATTTCCACAGGGTAGAGCTTAATACTAGAGAGATCAGCTGAGTTCATGTTAACCCTATATATAAACACAAACAAGTCAAATCAGTTTAATTTGTATAGTATTTTTCACAACAAACATTGTTTCAAAGCAGCTTTACAGAAAACCCTTATGTTAATGTTTAATATCACATTTAGTAGGTCTGGACGATAGTACAGTTTACATTTTGCGATGACACGCCATTAACACAGGCTTGGGTTAAACAGCAAATTCAAATCATTTTTTTATCTCTATGTTGTGGTAGGCCATATGTTACGGATTGTTAGCAATGCTGAATAACCAACTCAAAGAAATGCATCTGATATTAACAGTGAATTTGCAAGTTGTAAAAGGAGGACAAAAATAAAGGAAAATGAGTAACACTCCAGCCATCACCTGTTGACCTACCTGTTAGGATCCTGTAGCATCTCCACAGCTTCCTTTAGCTGATTAATCATATTGACCTTTGATCTGTTGGACCCAGTAGCATGGTATATATGATTATATATGGTTTAACTAGTGACCAAATTCAGAGAATGCAAGAGTCAGTGAGAAAAGACAGAAACAGAGAGACAGACAAAAAAAAAACAGAAAGAAAAGTACTTGATGATAAATATCCCGATATAAACATACATTTGTTCTGAAGCCCAGTTGGTGTCTTCCTCTATCCTGAGGGGCTCATCGAAGTCAGCACCTCGACCCTTCAAACACACACACACACACACACACACACACATCAACTCCAGCTGCAAACTCTGTCAAGTGACTACAGCCTAAAGGCCTAATTGGCTAGAATTCAAAATCAGATACACCACCGCCTGTTTGAGAGGGTGACGCACACGCAGATGGGAATACACACACCACCTTATACCCAATCCAATGATGCAATGAGATGTTATCAGATAAAAACTAACAGTTACTGGAACATAAAGCGCAATGCCAAGAGAGACAGATGAAAAATATGACAAGAAAAGAATGGAATGAAGGGAAATAGGGTAGTTAAAGACAGGAAAGAGAGGACCAAAAGATCAGTATTGTATTGAACAAAAAAGATATTTAAAATACTCCAGCTGGAGCTCAAACTAGAACATTACAATTATAATGGGAAACTGTCAACATTACAGTACAAAGAAACAACTAAATAAACAGTTTCAAGCCAGATCTGCCCACAATATTCTGTAAAATGGGATGATTTCTCATCAGTCTTTCAGAACAAGAAACCCCCTTAATGAATGTTAAATTTCACATGCCTTTTTTCCAGTTAGAGCAGTGGTTTGCAAGCAGTGGCCTCAAAATGACTTAAATGATTTAAAATAAGATAATATTAGAATTAGACTAAGCTAAACCCTTATCCATTAAGTCACAAACAACTGGAAAAGTCATGGTTGAATATTGTTGTGAACAATGGGGGACCCCGGTGCCAGTGCTGGTGCCAATCTGGAACTGTTTCTCACAATTGAAGCAGAAAATGTGGCGTTGAGTTGGCCCCAAAAATCTGCTGGTCTTAAACCAGAAACTGCTAACGTCAGAGTTCAGGGAAGGATAATGTGCTCACCAAGTTTAGTTTTCAAAACAACAACAACTTAATCTGGCTTCAGCACAGCACTATTTAAAGTGGCAAAAGGATAACAGTGTAATGAAAGAGAGGAAGAAAGCAAGACTGGAAAATGTGCTTGAAACTGATCTAAACTAGCCTGGGCAGTGTGAAACCACCTGATCCTTAAATTCCAGCTTTCAATACAAACACACTTCTGACAGACCATGAAAAAAATCAATCTCTAACACTCACTTTGATATAGCTGATGAACGGTGAGCTGAGGATAGAGTCTCGATAGCTCAGATACTCCTTGAGAGATTCCGATGAACTTCTGTCTGCTACCGGATACAACCACACACATAAACATGGCTAAATTATTATACCGACTATACAGCCCTCTACGAACACCTTGGCAATTGAATCGCCATTGGCTAGTAAATTTTTTTGTTTACTCGCCAGACTGATAAATATATACATACACATATACATATATACACACATATACACACACACATACATACACACACACACACACACACACACACATACACACACACACACATACACATACACATATATACACACAAACATATACACACACACACACACACACACACACAGCATCCAACTCACACTGCCGAGTAAAATCTGAGAATTTATTAGCAGTTGGCTAATATTAGACATCATTTAGTCGCCAGAGTGAAGATTTAGTCGCATATGCGAGTGATTTACTCGCAATGTAGAGGGTTGTATTATAAAGTGTTTTCACTGACACTAAATGTAAATCAAAGCAGCTTACAATTATCTACTAATGTAATGTAAGTGACTTACTGTAATGCATTTTTTGCTTTAAAAAAAAAACAAACAAAACAAAACTGACATTATGCCATAATTGCTGTAGATAAAACTTAATTTGAACCCTGGAACATTCCTCTAACTGAAAACAGAGACCTAAAGAATTTAAAATGCTGTAGTGTTCTTTGCAAGCATGTACACATTCATTCACCCATGCAGACATAAAGTGGACATGTCCAGTAAATCTTATTGAAAGCTTAAAGACTAAAAGACCCTCCCATCAGCTTAGCAGTCACACACTCTAAAGTGCAGAACACACACACACACACACACACACACACACACACACACACACACACACACACACACTTTTCCTTTCTTCCTGCAATGTTCTCGGTTCTCATCTCCTCCTCCCTTAATTCTCCTTATGTGCTGACATTGATTTCCCAGCCAGTATCCACACTTCCTGTCCGGGACCCTCCCCTGGGCTTAACCTGGGTCTCAAACATACTGTCTACAGTATCACTGTAATGTTGTGTCAGCCTAGTAAGAGGATGTTTTTCTTCACAGGCCTTTAATATCCTGTACACACATGTGAGGGCGTGTTTGCGCGTGTGAGCAGCACCTGTCAGAGCGCTGATGTGTTCACTGGAGTCGTCTTTGCTCAAGCCCTCCTCCTCTGTGATGTTGGTCATGGGCACATTCAAGCTGAGACTGTCTTCATCTGATGGCTGGAACACAAAAACTCTAAAACACCACCTAAACAAGCACTAAAAAATACACTATACACTGTTTAAAAATGTATAGGTTATATAATTAAATTAATTGTGCTAGAATTGTGATGGTATATTTTTATAAGAATTCTATACGGTATCAGTTTCAAACAGCATAGATTAGACATGTACTAGTCTCAATTAGTATCTCTAATTGTATGAGGGAATTATAGTTGGAAGCATGATTCACCATTTTTTTTAAATCAACCAGCTCGTATAATGCCACAATTAGATTAAAGTTAGCAGAGTAATGAAGTAACTATGGCGGGAACACTGGAAAAATTCCAAAAACAAAAGATGAGTAAAACATAATGATGAGATCATTGTTTAAGATTGTATAAAAATGTGAGTTGCAAGTGTGATTGTTAGATGTCCTGCAAGCTTCTCGTCTTTGTAGTCTGATTTTGGCATCGGGAACCTCCTGACTCGAGAGATTCTTTTTGAAAAAAGACTTTTTATGATATTGTCTACCAAATATTTTTTATAAGAGTCTTAATTTGACATTTAATTTCACATATAGCATGCATTAATTACAGTTTAAAAGTATTGATTTATATTTATATTTGAATATTGATGCATATTGATGTTATGTTATTATTATTATTATTATTATTATGTTTACTCTGTAAAGCACCTTGAGAAGCAACCCTTAGGCTTTATTTTATAAGTATTTTTTATTATATAAATAATATAAAAATTATCACTATTATTACTACTACTATCATCAGTATAGTTGTGTCTTAACTAAGCACAACACTATAAAATAAATACATTTCCAGTGTCAAGAAATTTATCTGTTCACACAGAAAGTCAATGTGCTCTGCAAAACGGAGCAATAACAGCCAATCAGAGCATATTTGATGTTTAACATACAGCTATTTTGAGTGGGATTTTGGACCAATACAAATTCACTATGGGCGGGGCTCCCCAGCATAACACTACAGAGAAACCAAATCACTGACATACTGTCCTGTCCCGATGTTAAGACAGTGTATACAACCACATCAGTAGTAACAGTAACACTGTATGCCACAGTACACGATAACTGCCAGATAGCAGCTATCAGACCTTTGTCCCCAAAGTAAATGATCTCAATTCTGCTAGAGTTTTATTGCAGCCCAGCCATAAGCAAACTAACACAATAACATGTGTCTTTAATAGTGTCATTGCTATAAATTTGCAACACTGATGAAAACACATAGCAGATTAAAAATACATGAAATTAGACATGCAAATATCCAAAGGACATAGACAAGATGGTCAGGCTCCTCTGTTTTACTCAAACAGACACTTGCAGCCACACACATACAGACTGACCTCTGTAGCAGAAAGGCGTTTGTCTCCGTTGTCACTGCCCACCCCAGAGTCACTGTCAAGTTTCTTGTGCTGATCGATGTCCTCAGTGCTGAGACAGAAATAAGAGGGGGATTAGAAATTAACAAGGGTTGTGCAGGACAGAAAGAAAGAGAGAAGCAGCCTATGTCTCTCATATGAGAAAGGGAAAGAAATCTTTCAGTCTCTCTCTCTCCCTCTGAAGAGTGACCCCCTGCAGTCTATTAAAAGGATTCTCCTGAGATAAGGATGATAATGACAGCCAACACACATACACGCATGACCTGGATTTTTTTTTGAGATTCCACACTGTATTCTACATTCAGATCTTTTTATACACCCATTTAGAGGTGCATGACTTGGTTTAAAAAATTATTATTTTTTTTTTTTTTATTAAAATATAAAAAATATAACAGTATTATATATTTTGCTGACTTGTGTACTTACATTATCCCAAATGTTTCGAAGAATGTTTAAATCCAGAGAAATAAGCAATTTTAACTAGTGACACGGACTGTGTCCATAGTGCCAGACTGTGTTGCCTGCCAATGACGTCATAACCCTCGATTTCCGGTTTTGTTTTGTAGAAAACATGGAAACACCAAAGACGCTTTAATATGTTGTGTGTATGCACGACCGGAAGGAGTGGAAGCGGTCGACTGTGGCATAATAAAAGCCCAGCTGCTTTTGAGCCTTGTTTCGCGCTCGTTCAGCGGCCTCATTTCGCTTCGATGGCTTTCAGCCTCACCATGCTTCATTCTATTATGTTAATAAATCATTAGCTCAACCATGAACATGATTTCTGCCCGAGTCCCATCGGATTGCATCGGCTGTGGGGATGAAGACTCCCATAATTCCACACTCAGTCACGCCGTCATCAAACTACGCCTTTGTCTATTTGTTTGTTTTGAATACGCGCCCTCCAGCGGCGAAAATTACATATTGTGCCTTTAAGTTGATAATTCTGACGC